GTCAACATCTACTTTTGGCCCCTTAATGTCAACCTCAGGACCCTTCAGGTCACCTTCCAGCTTGGGAACAGACACCTCCACGTCTCCCTTCACTTTGGGGCCCTTCAGGTTCAGGTCGATGTCGGGCATGGAGATCTTGGGGGTCTTGATGTGCATCTCAGGCATCTTGAACTTGGGGCCTTTCACTTTCCCTTCGGGGCACTCCAGATCAATATCTGGTGCCTCAATGTCTACTTTTGGCCCCTTGATGTCTATTTCTGGCCCTTTCAAATCACCTTCTATCTTGGGAGCCACCACCTCCATTTCTCCTTTCACTTTCGGTCCCTTTAGGTTCAGATCTACATCCTGCTTCTGGACCATGAATGTCCACATCTGGTGACTCAATGTCAACCTTGGGGCCCTTGATATCGACACTGGGCCCTTTCAGGTCACCTTCCAGCTTAGGAACAGAAACGTCCACATCCCCTTTCAGCTTGGGGCCCTTCAGGTTGAAGTCAACATCAGGCATGGAGATCTTGGGGGCCTTGATGTTAGAGTTGGGGATCTTGCCCTTCAGCTTCCCCTCTGGACCTTCAATGTCCAGCTCTGGACCTTCAATGTCCACCTTTGGGCCAGAAACCTCCATGTCTCCTTTGGGTAGGTTCACGTCCACCTCTGGACCTTCTGCTTTGAACCCGGACATCCCAAACTTGGGCATTTTGAACTTGGGCATCTTGAATTTTCCTTCTGGACCATGGATGTCCATGTCTGGTGCTTCAACATCAACCTTGGGCCCCTTGATGTCCAACTCAGGTCCCTTCAGGTCACCCTCAAGCTTCGGGACAGACACATCCATGTCCCCCTTCAGCTTGGGGCCCTTCAGGTTGAAGTCAACGTCGGGCATGGAGATCTTGGGGGCCTTGATGTTGAAGTCCGGCATCTTGAACTTGGGTCCCTTCAGCTTCCCCTCTGGACCTTCCAGCTCAACATCGGGAAGGTCAACATCAACCTTGGGGCCTTTGATATCAATGTCGGGGCCCTTCAGGTAACCTTCCAACTTGTGAGCAGAC